TATATATATATATATATATATATTTATTTATGTGTATATGTGTCTTTTGAAAGCAGGTAACAGAATTTCATTTTTAAGTGTGTCAGTATGCTCACAGTATGTCAAAAAATAACGCATCATGAGCCAGACATGTTGTGTACATTAATCCCCTCCCCCAAATAACAGAAATTTTATTAACGGAATTGTTGAAACTTCTCTTATTTAATCTATTATAATTGAATCAAACCCTGGTGCTGCACAGCTGAGAGATAAAATAGTATTTATTGTTCAAAATGATTTATTTATACAAATTTGAATAAGTGGGAAAGCTTACAAACCTCCTGCAGCACAGAATTTCAGCTTCACAAAAAATAGAATCAACATCTGTCCTATCTGGTCAACTACTCTTGAACTTCTTGCTGGAAACTGAAAGAAATTAAATTTTAATTTGGGGTTTTGATAATTACAGCTGTTTATGATTATAGAAATATTGTGTATTGTTGATTTTAGAGTAAGAGTTTAATGTATTTTATGTCTGTATCTGCACCAAAGAAAACTGGAAGCTATTGGGGCTTTTTCCCTTTTCCTTTGCACTCCTGATTTTGCCTTTTTTAACCTCCCCTTTTCCCAATCCCTTTTTTTGTACTTTTATCTTTTGTCGATTAAAAAAAAGCTGCTTTGAGAACACCATGCATGCACATACGAGAACACCGTGATCAGAGTAACTCTATTGTGCCAAACCCAAAAATTATTTGTGCACAAGATACAATGCAGGAAAGTTGTTTACCACACTTTCTGCCAGCAAACATACGGATGAATAATAAAAAGGGAGATAATATTATATAGAATATAATAAATCTCAGACAATATTGGGGAAACCCCAAGTTCCTTGTTCTCTTGCACTGTAGTATGTCATATCAAAACAAAGCATGGTGGTCAGGAAAAGTACTATGAAAAGATCATGGAGATGTTGGGTGACAAAGATTAATCAAAAGTTTGTACCATATCAGATTTTTTTCTACACATGTCCCCCTGCCTCTCTATACCTACTATGTAATAGACTAGTAATAATATGGAATAGATTTCAGTTTTGTCTTCTTTAATCCAGGCCATTACGTTCTGTAACTTCAGTGCTATGAAGTTTACGAAAAAGGGCGCCTTCCACAAATATTTATATAATTATATAATAAATATTTAATAAAATATAAGGGGCGTACCATTGTGCCTACCGTCCCTGTCCTACTGTCCCCATTTATTCGTACCCATTTCATTCATACTCATGTTTATTCTTATACTATTGTCTTGTATACGACTGACAAATTAATAAATAAGATAAACAGCACTGCCCCCCGCCTCCCCCAGAAAATAGGTTACACTTAGTCTTCAAGATGCTACAAAACTTTAATTCTAGCATGCTTGAGCGACCGAAATAAAGTACCGTAAAAAGAAGCATTTTGCAAACTCGTCCTACAAGAGCTGAGCACAAAAGACCTCTACGCTTGCGAAAATTTAGCTTGATTTAAAGTATTCAGCCGTGAGCGTAGTTTTTAGCCAAAATAAAAAAACTCGGGGACAGTACAAGATAGATTTTCAGGATTGGCTGGGTACAATAAGGCGGTTCGTGTATCTTGCGGGTGTTTTTCACATTCCTTCAAACGACGCTCCCTACGGGCGAAAAAGAATGGTTCCTGCGAACAACAGGTAGAAGAATGGCAACCCCCTCCTCCTTTCAACTAATGGTACGTTCTGCCGCTACCACGCTCGCGCGGCCGCTTGTCACCAGAGGGTCATTTCTCTAAAGGCTTGTCAGTGAACAGCTCGTACTCCGGAAGCATTTGTGGAAGTTGGCCCGGAAGGGGAGGCGGGGAAGGGTTGCGTGTGGTGGCGGCGGCGGCAGCTGCTGGGGCTCGGCCCTGGTGGTGAATGGAGTGAGCGGCGGCAGGAAGGAGAAGGAGGCCGGAGGAGGCGGAGCTCGCGTCTTTTTTTCTTTTTTTTTTGCGCGGAGTCAGGCTTTCCTTGCCGGCAGTGGTGGAGGAAGACGACCTCGGCGGCTCGCCTCGCGGGGGCTTCGGTCGGGGTCGGGAGGGTCAAAGGACTGGCCGGTGGGAGGGAGGCTGGAGGAAAAAAGATGCTGCTCTTCATGGAGGTGAGTGGGGGGGGGGTTGAGCCACGTGACTCGCCAGGCAGCGCGCGCTCGCTCGGCTGAGGGGGGGATGGAGGCTGACACAGCAAATACCCCCCTCGCGCGCGTGGGCGCCGGTGGGGGGGGAGTTTCTTGTGGGAGGGGGTCGTCTCCCGGCGGGAAAGGAGGGAGAGGTTGGAGGGGGACGGCGCTCCCGGTGCACTTGCCCGCCATGGTGCGCCATAAGAGCAGGAGGAGGAGAATCACGCGGCGGCCGTGGGTTAATGGGACGAAGCGGGTTTCGAGACCCAAGCGCCAATCGGACGCGCTGGGCCGGCGGTTGGGCCTCCCCAAGGTCAAGCTTCGCGAGCGGCCCAAGGAAGCCTGTGAACTGGGGCCGAGATCTGCGCCTCGTGTGGGCGAAGGGGGACAGGATGTGAAAGTGTGGCTTGCCGCGTAAAGGTGAAGTTAGGCCTAAGGGAGAGCTCAGTTCGGGGGACCCGCTCCGAGGAGTTTTCGTGTGTCCGTGGACGGGTTGTCTTAGCTGCTCATGCCTATTGCTCGGGGTAGGGTGTGGGGGTGTGGAAGAGAGCCTGGGCGAGAGGAGAAGGCCGTGAGAGACGTCGCAATGACCTTTCGTAAAAGTTCTCCCTGATGGCTGCTGCTTGGAACATGGCCGGGCACGTGTGAAGGTTACGCGCATATCTGAGGCCCGCGCCGAGGAGGAAGAAACGTTTTGGAAGCCGTTTTTCTGCCTCCCTATTTCCCATCTTGCCTCTTGCTAAAATAAATTAAAAAAAATATGTGGGAGGTCATCCACTTCCAACTCTCTCTTTTAAAAAAAAACGGCAGGCACATGGCAGGAGTACAATATATAGTCAGCTGACTGCTGGCTTTCTTTTTCCCTTGCCTGGCTAATGCTTTGAGTAGATTCCAGATTGTATTGTTCTTATTGTAGAAATGTCAGACTAGTAAAAGCTGTAACTTAGCAACGTGGCACTGGTTTTAACTGTGCCCA